AGCCCTGGCTGTCCTGGAACTCACTCTGTAGACCAGGCTGGCCTCAAACTCAGAAATCCGCCTGCCTCTGCCTCCCAAGTGCTGGGATTAAAGGCGTGCGCCTCTACTGCCTGGCGCTAAATATGTTTTAATGTTTCATAAACTTATATATAAATTTCTACTAGGCTCCAATTTAGAAGGTTTTTTTTTTTTTAAGTGGAATTGTAGTAAAAAAGGTTCTGAGCTAGACATGGTTGTAAGTCCCTGGAGTCCCTGCTGTTGAGGAACCTGAGATGGGAGGACCCCATGAGCCTAGGGATTGGAATGTATTCTAGGTCAATATAGTGAAGTCCTGCATGGGAGAGGATGAAAAAGCAGAGAAAGAGAAAAACTTGGAAAGTTAGATTCAGCTTGGGGTGGTGGCACACACCTTTAGTCCCAGCTCGCAGGAAGCAGACAGAAGCAGGTGAATCTCTGTGAGTTTGAGGCCAACCTGTTCTACAAAGCAAGATCCAGGACAGCTAGAGCTACATAGGGAAACCCTGTCTCAAAACAACAAACAGCTAACTAGCTCAGCAGCTAAGAGCACTGGCTGCTCTCTTAGAGGACCCAGGTTCAAGTCCCAGCATCCACGTGGCAGCTTAAAACTGTCTGTAACTCCAGTTCCAGGGAACCTGACACCCTCAAACATACATACAAGTAAAACACCAATGCACATAAAATAATTAAAAATTCATTACAGACAAACAAAAAGCCAGGTGTGGTGGTGCACACTTTTAATTTCAGCACTTAGGAGGTAGAGGCAGTTGGAGCTCTATGAGTTCAAAACCAACCTGGTCTACAAAGCAAGCTCCAGGATACTGCATAGAGAAACCTTGTCTCAAAAAACCAACCAACCAGAAAGATAGAGTTCCTAGAGGAAGATATAGCTCATTGGTAGAATACTTGCCTAGCATTTACAAAACCCTGGGTTTGATCCCTGGTACCACATGAACTGAGTATTGTAATCCCCGCGCTCAGAAGGTGGAGGCAGGAGGATCAGAGGTTGAAGGGTTTTCTTGGCTGCATGATGAGTTCAGAACCTGCCTGGAATATACAAGACCCTGTCTCCAAGGAGGAAAGAAGGAATTGGTGCTAGGTCCCAGGACTATTCCCCAGCATATCAGACCTCAAAGATAATCTCACTAAAGAAGAATTCTGTGATTGACTCTCCTGTGCATGCATATTCACTTTTGAAAATTCAGAGGCTGTGTTAGTAAATTGCTTAAGAATCTTGTAGTTACAGCCACAGAACTTTAACTACACCCACATAATGCCCTACATGAAGCAGAAGTATGTTTGGTTCAGATATGATGAACACCTGTAATCCCAGCACTTAGGAAATTTAGGCAGGAGGGTCTTGAGTTGAGTCCATCCTAGGATGCATGATGAATTCTACAGTAATCTGGATCATAGAACAAGATCCTCCCCCACCCCCAGCTGAAGACTGAACCCAGGGCCTTGCGCTTGCTAGGCAAGTCCTCTACCAGGTTTAATCCCCAGCCTCATATAACAAGACTCTAGCTCAGAAAACAAAACTATGTTTTGAAGGAATACCTCTCCAGAAGCACTGATCTAGATGTGCTGTCGTGCAGGGAGAGGAGATTGTATCTGTATGTCTGGAAGCTTTTATGTGGAGGGCCTTTGGCATGCTGGAGAACATTCACCCATCACTACCACACCAGAGGACTTGATTTTCAGTCACTAGGGAGCGGGTGTGGTAGGTACCGACAGTATTGTGACTTTCAGAAGCATGAAACTGGAGCATAGGGATATGGTGCTTTTCTCTGGAACCCCAAAAAAGGGAGGTACCGGTTCAGTAGGTAGAGCTTTTTTTACAACTCCTGAGACAGGAGTTGTAAGAGTGACTGGTGTTCTAATTGCTGAAAAGAAAAATAAAAACTTCCCCCTCTTTTTTCTACAGATGTGGGACCTAGGAAAAGGCCTGGCGATGACCCAGGTCTGGCAGTCTGGAATGGCGGTCCTGGTTCTTGCTGCGTTGTCCTCTGCTGGGCTGGCAGCCATGTGAAGAGCTGGAATTCCCAGTGCCATCCTGAACATTATCACACTGATTTGTATTCCTGCTTATCACTCTCCCTCCAGCCACCAAGGCTCTCCTCATTTGTTCAGATTCCACATGCTTCCCCTGGAGCGCAGTAGAGAACTTAAAGAACCGTAGCAATAGGAAAGGGTAGCTTTCCCTGGGCCTAGGAGCCCTCACTCCCTCTCCACATTTGACTCTGATTTGTGCTGAGGGTCAGCTTTCTGCTGCTTCTTGCTGAGACAGTGGAAACAATGCCAGTTCTGTGGCTGCCCTGAGTGCCACTGCCTGTGGGCTGCTGGCTTAAAGGATACTTCTGTTCATTGGTCAGCTCAGGGCCTTTAGCACCCACACAGCGGGACTGAGAGAAGAGAGGTGGAGGTGGAGGGGATTGTTCTGCCCAGCTAGAGGGAGATAAAGAGCAACTTGGATCTTGGAAGCGTATGCGGGGAAAGATACACAGCTTTTGATGTATGAGGAAGAGCAAAAAAAAAATTGTATGAAGTTTCTGTTCTGTTTTTTTTTATTTCTAGGAAAATACACCCTTAATGTTATATTTTCTAATCTAAATTCATATACTGTCTTTCTTTGGAAATGATTAAAGTACTACTCATTTTATGTTTGACTCTTTGGAATTTAGTGACAGTTGATAGAAAGGGTATAATTTCTGCCCCTTCCTTTGGATCTTGGACATTTTACATCCTCCAGTATGACATTTCCCAGGAGGGAAATAGTTTGCCCAACAACTGACCACTGGTAAAAAGGTAATCACATCCAAGTAGTCGAGAGATTTTGGTCAAGAAAAGAACAGTAAGAAGGCAGTTAAGCATGCTGAGAGCTGTTGAGGTGTTACAGGGTCCCATCCTGTGGATGACTGGCTATATACTTCAGCAGATTATTTGCTTACGGACACCTAGGACCAGTGGAGGTGGAGGCTAAGGCCTAAATAGATTTTGGAAGTGGGGGAAGTAGAAGAGGATTTTTTTTTTTTAAAGCAGGACATGGTTGCAGGCGTCAGAATTCTAGAAAATTTATACAATGGGAAAACTTGCTACTTTACCCCTGATGAGACCCTGAATCCTTAGCAAGAGTGCTTTGTAGAGGTCTTTGTTATGTGTTAGCAAGCACTGTACCACAAGTTCCCTAGCCAGGAGTGCTATTTTGATAGATTTTTGCCAACTCTGGAGTAAGCGCTCCATCTTGGGATTTGGTTCCATGATAGTATGACAAAGCCTGTGGTTCAGTCCCCACCACCAAGAAAAACACTGCTCCAAGAGATTGGTCAAAACATTGGATTGAAGAATGATTGCAGGCCGGGCGGTGGTGGCGCACGCCTTTAATCCCAGCACTTGGGAGGCAGAGGCAGGCGGATTTCTGAGTTTGAGGCCAGCCTGGTCTACAGAGTGAGTTTCAGGACAGCCAGGGCTACACAGAGAAACCCTGTCTCGGAAAAAAAAAAAAAAAAAAAAAGAATGATTGCTTTATAGCAGTTAAGAAGACAACATGAACCCAAATCCATGGCAGCAGAGGTGGGGTGGGCCCGGGCCTGGGGCTGGGTTGCAGACTGTTTCATTAGTCTCTTGAAGTCTTTGGAGAAAGGGATTCACCATGTATTCCTAACTAGACTGGAACTCTTACCCAGACTACCCTCCAGTTGGTGTGATCTTGCTTCTGCCTCCCCAGTGCATGTGAACACCACCCTTAGTCCTCTAGCCATTTCTGTTCCTGATCCCAAGTAGTGTTTGGCCTCAAGCAATGATCATTTACCATTTTCCTCTAGACAGGCCCTGGGAAGTTTTGTGGTGCTAGGAATTCAATCTAGGATCCCATTCGTGCTAGGCAAGCACTGAGACAGGCCTCACCAAGTACCCAAACTGGCCCAGACAGGCCTTGAACTGATGATCTAGCTGCTTCAGCCTCCCAAGTAGCTGGAATTACAGGACCATGTTACCACATCTGACTGTGCTGGGAGGTCCTATAGAGTTCCTCCAGCGTAAATCAGGTCCAGAATCAGGTTGTCCTTTGAGAAGGGTCAGAGTTCGTGCAGATAGACTTGGCAAGGGCATTAAATTAACAACCAGTGCCTGGAAGATGTACAGCAGGGGCACTCACTGGTCAACAGATTGGCAGGCTGGGAAATTAGTGTGGACATTTTTACTTTTTTTTTTTGATGGCTTCTTAACCATCCAGTGATTGAAGGGAAGTGGATCACCTGGCTTCTACCTAGTTTAATAAGGGTATTTAAAGGCTTTAACCTCCCTTGTAGCCCATCACCCAGCTGAGGTAGTAGAAAGGAAAGGTTAGTAACCAGAAATTTTTACTTCACTGGTCTGTCAAGATAGCGCAGTGGATATAGGCTCTAGCCACCACGTAGCCCGAGGACCCGAGTTTGATTCCCAGGATCCGTGTGCCAGAAAGATCCATACTCTCATAAGTTGTCTCTGACTTCCTCATGCTTGAGGCACACCTACATATACACAGAAAGTCAATGAAAACGTGTAATAAAAAAGTCTTACACGCTCTACTAACCGACTGTACTTGTGATTTTGAAGACATTGGCTGTACAAAGTTTGGTCCTCTTAAAGTTCTGCCCTTGTGTGGTACAAACCAGCTTCCTCTTGGCCATTGCGGGGGTCACTGACATTCTTATTAAGACTCACTGTCCTTTTCCCTACCCTCTTCCCCAGCCTTCCTTGTAATTATGGGCTACAAAAGACAGTCATAAATGAAGAGAAAACCCAGGTCAGTAAAAGAGTTAACAAACAATGTTTATTTTCCCAAATTTGCCTTTACCCCTGGCCCATCATTTCTCTATTCTACATTCCTGAATACAGGGTCTTCCTCGTTTCAATCAGTCTCTAAAATGTCACCCCAGCATGGCCTTTGCCCTGCACAGCTTTGCTTGTTTGGATCTCAGGTAGACTAGGACCTGCTTGGTGCTTTAACATGGGCTCAGAGGTGGGTTCTTGGGAGAGTTGGCTGGAGTTTGGGGGCCTGGAGTGTGACCTGCAGAGGGGTGTGGACTTTGAGTTTCATCTGGGTTGTCTCCTTGGATAACCGGGGAGCTAGGAATTATGGTTGGATTTGGTGCTTGTTGTACAGTCTTTGTGACAGATTTCTGTTTCTTCTGACTGTTGAGGTCAAAGGGCTGTTGGGAAAAGGTGATGGTATTTCTCATTAGGCCCAGATTGTTCCCAGTCAGCCTCAAAATTCAACTCCCTTTCTTAATACACCACTGGCAGGAAGAAGGAAGTCAGAGTTTGAATAAGAACAGTTAAATTTAACCTCCCCCTTGGAATTCTTTTCTACTGGGGTTAGAGGTGAGGAACAAGATAGCTTTGTTTTGTTTTTTCAGACCTTAGTGATTAAGGACTGGGCAGCAAGAGACAGTTTCGAGGCTGAAAAGAAATGGAGACAGTAGGGGTTTTGATTAAACAACAAGGACAGATACCTTGCCTGAGATTGCAGGACGCAGCCCATTACAGGCATTGAGTAGCTCAGGATTCTTGTGTATCCATTTGGTGAGGGAGTCAGCAGCAGCAGTTGTACGGGCAGTCAAGGACACCTGAGCAGGTGGTATCTTCAGGGGCATTTGCCAGGTGCCCATGAAAGAACCCCAAGGACTTGCCTAAAGGACAAAAGGATTGCTCACCAGGTCTTCAAGGCTGGTGTCTGCTTGGCAGGGCTGGCCGGTTTCATGACTATTCTGTTGCTTTGCCAATGCTTAGTAAGGGTGGCTAAGGCAATGGGTTACCGAGTAAGAGGAAGGCTTTTCTTGCGTCAGTTTCTTCAGTTCAGCTGTTTTTCTGCCCCTTTCCTTCCAACTTAAATTTTGCATTCTTAGGCTAAGTATGATAAAGGAGTCTATTGTCATCTGAAAACATTGTTTATATATATTTTCAGGACTTCCATGTGCTAAGCACAGCTCTGTCCTACTGGATAGAGAGTTGGAGCATCACAGATTGGATTTTAATTTTCTATTAAAATTAGCTCTGCTTTGATGCAGCAGCTCTCTTCGTTGGTTTTGGGACAGCATCTCTCTGGAATTCACTATGTAGACCAGGCTGGCCTCAAACTCACAGAGATCCTCCTGCCTCAGCCTGTTGAGTATTAAATCCCTTCTGGGATTAAAGGTGTATGCCACTAGCTAGCTCCTCCCTTATTTTTATATGAATGGAAGTGGGGCATCTCACCTTGGAACGGGGCACTGAAGGCAAGAGATGACCTCGATCGTTGGCGATGATCTGAGTGTAGCCTTCATGGGCAGCGATTTTCTGTAGCGGGGGTGGAAAGAAAGGCGCCTGAAGCGAAAGAGGGCTTGGGGTAAAAGTATGGGAGAGAAGCACATGGGCTGTTCCCGGGCTGAGGGAGTTAGGTGACAGGGAGAATGTGAAGCCAGTCACCGTAAACTGGCCTTGGAGGGGCACTGAGCTCAGAATACCTCTTTTGTTGGTTTGGCAGGAGACCAATTTTGCAGGTACCTGGGTAAGTAAGCTTTTTCATACTGTGGAGAGAAAGAGGAGAGAGAGAGTTCCTGTGAGGCTCAGTGAGATGATGACGCTGTTCTCTACAGTCGAGTGACCTCTAACTCACTGTGACAAAGGGAGGAAGCGATCTTAAGGGAGGTAGGAGCTGAGGCAATGGGTTACGGTAAGGAAAGCTGAACTAGGCACTAAGTCTGGGAAGAGAAGGAACCAGCTGGGGTGACGAGGGGAAGAGGGACGGGTTGAGAACAGTATGCTGACTCTCAGGTAGGAAGCTGCCCTGACGAAACCCAATAGTTGGTATGCCAACCTACAAACAACACAGAAAAAGAAAGCTAATACAGAGAGAGAAGAGATTGTGTCTGGCTTTGCCACGCTGCACATTGAACCCAGGATCTTGGGCGTGCTAGGCAAGTGTGAGATTATAATCTGTTTGCTCAAGATGTGTCCTGGGGCCGTCACTCTGGGTTCCAATGCTTATCCAGCATGTACAGAGCCCTAGGTTTGATCCTCAGCACTAGTGGGGAAAAGTTGATTTTAAAGAGCTGGTATAACCTAGGTGCATATGGGGGTGGGGTTAGACTATTTTTTCTTTAGGGATGGAATTGAATGTTGATGTTTAGGGTTTATTCTTTAGGTTTGTATTCTACTGACCATTATGGAATTTAATTTTTAATTTTCACATAGCTGTTAGAACTCTTTCAGTTATGTTTGTGACTCACTCTGTTGGGCAGTGCTAGATGAGACCAAAGGATGGGAGCCAAATCTATGTTGGTACCTGCTTTTGGATGGACGCCACTTTATGTATGTCTGTCTGTCTGTATGTATGTCTGTATGTATGTATGTATGTATGTATTTATTTATTTATTTAAGGCTAGGTTCCACCCTTCTGCCCCTGTCTCCCTGGCAAGAATGGTTTTTATTTGTAAAAGTAAATCACTTGTAAAAATAAAACAACCATTTGTGTTGCTTTGACAGAGGTACTTGGCCAAGATGGCACACCCCTGTAAGCCTAACACTTAGCAGAGTGAGGTAGGAGGGTCGTGACTTTGTGGGCCAGTCTGGGAGAGGTAGGTAGTAGCAAGACCTTACCTACCCACACACATACACATAAACAAAGAAACAATTAACACTAAACTTTGAATAATAAATAAGGAAAATATTTTCTCCAAAATAATTCCAAAATGTGTAGACAATATTTTGTTTGTTTGTTTGTTTGTTTGTTTGTTTTTCTTCAGATAGGGTCTTACTACAAGACTCTGGCTGGCCTCGAACTCTCTATGTAGACCAGGCTGTCCTAGAACTATCCATGATTATTTTGTCTCCTTGTTCTAATTACTGTGATTACAGGCATGTACTACCATACCCAGGTTCGTGTATATTTGTATATTCCTCTCTCTCTCTCTCTCTCTCTCTCTCTCTCTCTCTCTCTCTCTCTCTCTCTCTCTCTCTCTCCCCCCCCCCTAGGGGGTGGTTCTCTTGAAGCTCAGGGTAGCCTTGGACTCCGTATGTAGCCCAGGATGTCTTGAACATCTGATCTTCCTGCCTCTGGGATCACTGGGAAGCATATCTACACCTATATTTTTAATTTTTCCAAAACAAATTAGTGATAACTTTCATGTAGATAACTTTCAAACAGATATGACTTTGTTACTTGACTTACAAAGCCTAAAATGTTTACTCTGGCATGTAAAAATAAAATCACTGATTTCTGGCTTATGTTCTACAAATTTAACACAGATCCTTTTCGCTTGTTCCTGGGCCCTCCCAACCATGAGGTAAAGCACCACCTCAACCCCATCAGAATCTGATGGGAGCGGATAGGCCAAAGGTAGAATGAAAAGAGTGAAGAGCAAGAACTTACCTGGTTGGCGCTGTAGTTAGTGGCCATGATCTGGTGCTGTTTACACTTGTTGCCTGGCAACTGCAGAAGGACAGCCTTCTGGGAGTAACTCCCAGTCAGCAGGGGTTGGATGCCTTCTATGGTTCACACTGCTGTCTTCATTTCTCTCTGAAACTTAGGTTCATTTTCGTTTTAGAATATAGAGGCCCAAACAAACATGAGAAAATGAACTGAGAAGTAGCCATGGATACCTTGAACACCCGATCCTCCTGCCTCTGCTTCCAAAGTCACGGGACCACTGGGGAGGACCACTGCACTTGCCTCAGTTACTATATTTTGAATTTTTCCAAAACCAATTAGGGATAACTTTCATGTAAATAGCTCTTTCCCCAACATAAGTGAACCCTGCTTCAGAACATCCATGTTGTCTTTAAATGACATCTTCAACTATTTAAACAAACTTTAGGACCCCCAGAGCTGAGTGTGTGAGGCACTGTGGTATAATGAACAAACTAAGCCACTGGCTTCCTTCACTAAATCCCTGTTGTCACATACTGTAGTGGTGGCCTGATTTGACCACTGAAGGATACGGTGAATGACATGTTCAGATGCTGTAAACTCTTATCCTTGGTCCTTATGTGACTCCTGTCCCTCCATCACTCTACAGTCACAGGACCCAGGACACAGCTTCACAGTGCCGGTTTGGACTCCTGTCCCTCTATCACTCTACAGTCACAGGACCCAGGATACAACAGTGTCGGTTTGGCTATGGCAAATCAGGACCCAGGGTGGGGAACCGAGCAGGGATAATGAGAAGTCCGAGATGAAAGCACCAGATCTGGGAGGATCAAGTGATGGTGTACCCTTCCCAAGCCTTGAGTAGGCCGGGAAGACCTTGTGACCTAGGTGGAGTCATCCACCCTGGCTGCATGTGCAAATTTTCACATGAATTTAGAAGAATAGATTGCCCACTGACCTTGACTTTCAACATAATCGGGCTGAAACAAAGGATGGGTTAGGTGGGGCTTTCTCTATATATACAAGAGCTGAATATTAAACTTTGAGCCTTGATCAGAGAACTTTGTCTTGGCTCCATGTTTCTCTCACCCCTCCATCTCCTTTTCATTTCCATCCCTCCTTTCAGGTGGACCCAGTTCGTCTGTGGCCGCTGGACGGCTACATGATGGTACCAGGGCCCAAGCCTATTAGCTGTAAAACCAAGAAACCCTGAGAGACTCATCTAAATTTCTGTTAAGTCCATCTATTCCTGTATTGGGGTGTTAGAACTAAAGAGGGCTTGTCAGTTATATAGTCTCAAGTTTGTTTTTTTTTAAAAAAACAAACAGAAAAATCCAAGTTGTCCAAAGATACTTACGAGCCAGATAATGTCTGTGCAGGCCTATAATCCCAGTATTCAAGAAGTGGAAGAAGGAGGTTCTCAAGTTCAGCTAACTGCTGTTGGGGGAGGGGCTCAAAAGGTCCCACCCTTTATGTTAATAGTTTCTAAAGAGGGGAAAATATTTTTCTTCAGTGTTGTAACCAGCCACACTGATAGGTGGTCCATGTTCCTCCACTTGTGCAAACAACTCTGAGTGAGACATACACACTCACTTGTACATGAGGGCATGGTGAGGCCTTTAACCTCAGAACTTAGAGGAGTCAGACCTCTGAATTTGAGGCCAACCAGGTCTACATAGTGAGTTCCAGGCCAGCCAGGGATGCATAGGGAGCCCTTATCTCAACAACCAAACAAGAACAAAAGTCCACATGACAGTGGGAAGAGGGCATGGTGGGAAGCAGATGGGGTCCTTTGGGAGGGGAGGGGCATAAGAGGGTGAATGTAATCAGAAGCCTACATGTATGAAAATACCACAATGCAACCCATTATTATATAGATCATAGATGCTAGTTTAAAGGACAGGAAGAGGGGAAGGGAGCTGGAGAGATGGCTCAGGGATTGAGTGCTCTCTCTGCTCTTCCAGTGGGTCCAAGTCTAGTTTCCCAGCACCCACGGCTCTCAACCTCTGTAACCACAGCAGTATGGAATCTGACATCCTCTCTGAAACAGCTACCTCAACTCACACATATTATTTAAAAAAAAAATTCTTTTCAAGAAAGCAAGCTGCATGTGGTAGCTTATACCCACACTTGAAGCCTTTGGGATGCTGAAGCAGGAGGATTGCTACAAGTTTCAGTTATTTGAGACTGCCTCCAAAATTCAGGGGAGAGATAATTGTTAGTTGTTTCTTCCCCTAAAATCTTTATCCTATCCAACACACCCAGCATAACGATACTCCTGACCCTTCTAGATAATGGGGTAAGATCAGCTCTGATTATAAGCTCGGACAGTTCACAGCTGGGTACCGTGACATAGGCCAGTAGCCCCATGCACTCTGTCCCTGTGGTTCTCATTATTCTCTGGGGTGATGGAGGACACAGGAGTTATTTTAGGATCAACGACTGTCTCTGCCCTCGAACATCCATTTTGCCCACAAGGGGCAAAGTGACAGCTCTGTACCCATGGCATCTCCGGGAATTGCTGGATTCATTACCAGCTATTAAGGCAGTTTTCCTTGGCTCTGTGAGCAGCGTGTGAACTCAGACCTAAGTGGGGAAAACCATTAATGTCCATCCTGGAGCCAAATTATCTGGGTGAAATCCTGGCCTTGTTTAGAAAATGAGACCTTAGCTGGGCCGTGGTGGCACACGCCTTTAATCCCAGCACTTGGGAGGCAGAAGCAGGAGGATATCTGAGTTCGAGGCCAGCCTGGTCTACAGAGTTCCAGGACAGCCAGAGTTATACAGAAAAACGCTGTCTAGAAAAACCGGGGTGGGGTGGGGGGAGAAGCCTTAGAAAAGTTCATCTGCCCCGGCTTTGGCGAAATGAAATTTGCATGAGAAATGAAGACTGTCCTGCTTTAACTGTGTAACACACCCTGGTAGGCACTTAACGCAAACAGGGCTCAAAAACTGTAACGTGTTCTCGGTTTAAGAGTGCCCGGGGAGGGAGTGGGAGGTGAATGTGATGGTGCATATCTTTAGTCCCAATTCCGCCTCAGCACTGCATCTCCTCACTACAGAAACCGATGTCAGCCAAAGTCATTTGCTCCCAAGTTGAGAACCACTTTCCAGAGATCACGTGAGTCTGACAATGTAACAGGAGAGAAGAGAAAGGATTCTGGCCAATGAAATTGCTGGGGTGTGGCTAACGTTGGTAGGGTGCCTGCCTCACAAGCAGGAAGCCTGGGGGTCGGTACCCAACATTACCACAGATCAGGTGCTGTTCAGTGCCTCTAATTCCAGTGCTTGGGACATGAGGCAGGAGGATCAGCAGTTCAAGGTCGTCCTCAGATGTATATTGAGTTTGACCCTGTCTTAAAGTAATAAAATAAAAAGTGGGGAGGACCTGACACACCGGGTCAGTGAGGAAGGTGCTTGGCGCGCAAGTCTGATAACCTGAATTCTATCCCCAGAACCCACATAAAGACAGAAGTGAAGAACCACCTCCATGAGTTCTCCGGCCACACTTCATGCACACATGATAATAATAAATGAAAGATTGAAAAATAAAATAATAGAAATATAGCAAAAGAAGAATGGACACTTGCTTTACTTTGAACTAATGGATCTTTTACCAAAATGTCTTAGAACCAGTCATCAGTTTTTGTACAGATTTCCAAAGACACGATCGGGATGTGGTGGAGGCTTGTAGTTTGAGGATTTGGGTAGATAAGACAGGAAAATTCCCACATTCAAGGTCGTCCTATACAGAACTATACAGTAGGAACCTTTTCCCTAAAGAAACTAATGGAACAGATAAAGCAAGCCAGTTGTGGTGGCACACACCGTTAATCCCAGCACTCAGGAGACAGACAGGTGGTCCTTTGATTTCAAAGGCAGCCTGGTTTGCAGAGTAAGGTTCAGGACAGCCAGAACTACACAGAGAAACCCTGTCTCGGGAGGCTGGGGTAGGGGGTGGGAAATCAATACTGTTAGAACCAGTTACCAGTTTTCATATAATTATGTATGCACATGAAAGAGAAAAACAGGGGCTGGAGAGATGGCTCAGTGGTTAAGAGCACTGTATGTTCTTCCAGAGGTCCTGAGTTCAATTCCCAGCAACCACATGTGCGGGGCGCCGCCTCTCCGAAAAGGAGAACGCCACGCTTCAGGATTCTTCTGGCAGCATTTTTATTACAGCTCTTTTAGTGTTACAGCTCTCTTAGATGGTAGTGAGGCGAGGGACCCCAAGCCCCAAAAGCTTATGGCTTATATAGCACTTTAGGAGATGTGCCGCACACTCATTGGCTCTTATGATGTCGCCAAATTAGCATACTGGTTTTCGCGCCTTGCGCAGGCGCACATTCAAGCAAGGCTCGCAAGAAGAACCAGGAAGCAGGAAACCGGCGCCATCTTGCGATGGCGGACGCGGCTCCTAACACACATGGTGGTTCACAACCATCTGTAATGAGATCTGATGCCTTCTTCTGGTGTGTCTGAAGATAGCCACAGTGTACTCATATACATAAAATAAATAAATCTTTTAAAAAAAAGAAAGAAAGAGAAAAACACACACACACAGCCATAAAAATAAATGAATAAAAGGTTAAAAAAGCAAAAATCAAGCTAGGTATAGTGGCTTAGGACTGTAAGTCTGGCACACTTAGACTGAGACAGAGGATTGCTATGGATTTGAGGCTAGCTTGTGTGGGGTAAAGTGAGCGGTGCAACCTGCAGCTCAGGCCTGAAGCAAGAATGAGCTTGACATGTGTTCGAACTCGGGAACCAGAAGCAGTGAGGATCGCTCCCTCCCTGTTCTGGGCCTGCATGCCACGTATCCATTTGACCCCCCCCTCCTCTCCTCTCCTCTCCTCTCCTCTCCTCTCCACTCCTCTCCTCTCCTCTCCTCTCTTCTCCTCTCCTCTCCTTTCTCAAAGAACATGAAGAACATGTCCAGCAAGCACCTGGATTTCCTCTTCATGTAAATGAAGCATTCCCAGTACCTCAGCCCTAGACAATAATGTACACTCACCCCGAAAGCCCCTACCTACCCTCCAAAGTTTATATTACCCTTATTACCCCTGAATAAACACATACACACACACACACACCCACACCCCTCAAGACCGAGTTCCTGTGAACACAGTCAGGGCCTGAATCTTGGACTACAGAGAAAGATTCTGTTTCAAACAAAACAAAAGAATCATGAACAAACCATGTATGATGTATATGTGCTATTGCATGCTCTAGTGTACAGAACCTCATTTCATATGTGTGTGCATTACCGAAGGTGCAGAGCTCAACAGCTTTACATGCTGAACGCGGAGGCTTCTCCCACACTTTCCCAAAGACGAAGCAGCAGTGCCTCTGCACGTCATTTCGCATGTCTGTAGGATATATGAGGAAACAAGGTGTGGAATCAGAGTCAGATTTGGCAAACTGCTTTTCATAGACATTTATTTCATCCTTGAACCACTTAGGAAAGTCTGCTAGCAGGTCTGGGGATGGAACTTAGTAGAGTAGTGTAGTTTGTTCATACGGAGCCCTGGTTTCAATTCCCAGCACCTCAGAAAACAAAGAAAACACCCCCACACAAACAAGTCCAGCAAGTTTGAGGCAGACCCCAAAAGCTTAGCTCTCCAAATAACACAAGCATTATGTACTGTGGCTTATCTAATTCACAATAGCCCAAAGTGAGGACTTAGACCTCTACCACAAGACAGGTCTTTAGAGCACGCTGGCTCAATCCACTGTGTAGCTGTGGACTGGAGATGACCTGCAGCTTCTGATCCTCCTGCTTCCATTTCCCGACTTCTTGGACGTGTAGATGTCCAACACCATACCACACTTGAAACACGGACTTTTGCCGGGCGGTGGTGGTGCACACCTTTAATCCCAGCACTTGGGAGGCAGAGGCAGGCGGATTTCTGAGTTCAAGAGTTCGAGGCTAGCCCGGTCTACAGAGTGAGTTCCAGGACAGCCAGGACTACACAGAGAAACCCTGCCTCGAAAAAGCCAAAAGAAAAAAAAGAAAAAAAAAAGAAAAAAGAAACACTAACTTTTTAAAAATCTAAGGCTTATATTTTGTGTAGCAATTCTCCACAGGGGCTACGCTGTTCTCTTTATTGTTCTGAGTTTAACTGTGTGCTGTGGCTCACACGTGTGATCTAAGCACTTAGAAAAGCTGTGGCAGGAGCACGCAGCGTGAACTTTTAATATAACACCTCCCCACCCCCGTGACAAAGGTGAGAAGCTAAAAAAATGATGTGTACGTGGTTATTATTGAAGACTTAGGCATCTATTTCCCCTCTTGGGCGGTTTGACCACTGGAACCGTTAGCTCTAATGATATTGTCAACCCACCAAGATTTTTCCCAAGTAGCTCCAAGGAGCCCTGCATGTTACCTCAGTGGTAACTAGGTGCTGGAGTGGAGGGCTGGACTTTGTAGGTTTCCCCATACAAGCTGAAAGCAGTTTGGTACGCAATAAGGCCAGAAATGATACATGACCACAGAGGTAAAAGCTTCAGTTCCAAAACCCCAGAGTTCAAAAGCTGTATTAATTGTCTTTTCTGTGTCTTTTCTGGGACTACAGCACCCCCTAATGGAAATTATCGCTCCCTTTACTCTCTCCCTCCCTCCCTCTCTCTCTCTCTCTCTCTCTCTCTCTCTCTCTCTCTCTCTCTCTCTCTGTGTGTGTGTGTGTGTGTGTGTGTGTGTGTGTGTGTGTGAAAACAATAACAAAAAGGAAACTGGTAGATTTTCTAGCCAACTGCTCAAGAAAAAGGAGAGGAGATGGCACAAACTAAATTAGAATTAACGAAGAGGCAGAAAACAAAGCGTGTGTATTTGAGACGGTATCACGTAGCTCAGGCTCACCTTCAGCTTCCTGTGTGGCAGTCTGGTCTTTTCCCAGCTCCTCCTGCTCCCGTCACCTGAGCCATGGGGTGGAAGTTCGAGTGTACGCGGTGACACACTCAGTTTGAGCAGAAGAACAGTCTTAAGATAGAAAAACCTCCATTAAATGGATTTTTTGTTTGTTTGTTTTTGGTTTTGAGACAGGGTTTCTCTGTGTAGCCCTGGCTGTCCTGGAACTCACTCTGTAGACCAGGCTGGCCTCGAACTCAGAAATCCACCTGCCTCTGCCTCCCAAGTGCTGGGATTAAAGGCGTGCACCACCACCGCCCGATGGATTTTTTTTTCTTAAAATAGAAAGTCAGCTTAATAAAACTGGTCTGTGCATCCACTGTGACCAGGTGAATGAGCATATAAGAATTCAGACACTGGCTTTTGAGCCTGGGCCTGCTGTATCTCCAGCTTACTTCCATTCTTGGGAGCAACTTTCTCTTCTCTATCTTCATAAGCTATTTTAAAAAAAATACAGAAATTGCTGTTGCATGCCTTTAATTCCACCCAGCAGAGGCAGAGGCAAGAAGATCTCTATGAGTTATAGGTCAGCCTGCTCTACATAGTGACTTGCAGGACAGCCAAGGCTGTATAGAGAGACCCTGTCTCAAAAAAAAAAAAAAAAAAAAAACAATACAGAAACTAAAATGTTGCACTGGGCACAGTAGTTACAGAAATACAATCCCAGCTGCTCCAGAGGTTAAGGCAGGAAGATCACAAGTTCAAGGTCATTCTGGGCCACTTAGCTAAACCTTGTCTCAAAATTTAAAATATTAAAACCAAGGGCTTCAAAAAACAAAACAACAACAAACAACAACAACAACAAAGGGCCTGTACACATAGCAGAGCAGCAAGGCCTGGTTTTCCACTGTTGATACCAAGTTAGAAGAAGAAGAAGAAAAAGAAGAAGGAGAAGAAGAAGGAGGAGGAGGAGGAGGAGGAGGAGGAGAAGAAGAAGAAGAAGAAGAAGAAGAAGAAGAAGAAGAAGAAGAAGAAGAAGCAGCAGCAGCAGCTAGAGTTTTTCTTCAAAACAAAACTGGAAACTAGATAGTTTCACAGAAGACTCCAGGACACCTTCTTTTTATTTATTCTGTAAGTATCAGGGGTTGAACCCAGGTGTACATGCTAGGCAGTGCTCTATCACTGAGATACATTCCCAGTCCTTTTAAATTTGGTTTAGACATTGCTTTTCCTGGATGTGAGTGGCTACGTGAGTAGAGGCACCTGCCACCAAGCCTGACAACCTGAGTTTGATCCACAGATCCTTATAATGGCAGGCTCGCTGGGTAACAGTGACCTAGGTCTTAACATTTTACCTAGGCCTAAACATTCCATTTAGGCCTTAATATTTGAGGACTGGAATATCTGAGGCCAGCTTGGGCTACACAGTGAGACTATCTCAACAGAACAAAGAGAATGAGTTTATGTTATATTTCTTTGTTGATTAGAAACAATAAGTACATATTTCTTTGGTAACTTTTTTTTGTTTTTAATGCTGGGTTCAGTAGAACAAGCCTGCAATTCCGACTACTCAGGACACTGAGGTGGGAAGATGGTAAGTTCAAGGCCTTCCAGAATTATACCATGATTCCAAGGAGAGTTGGGACATTAGTGAGATCCTGTCTCAAAATGAAAACATAAGAAGGGGGTTAAAGATGTGGCACAGTGGTAGAATGCTTGTCTACATGTGAGAAACTAGAGTCTGATCCTTAGGGGTGTGTGTGTGTGTGTATCTGTGCGTGTGTGTCTGCATACACAGGACCACTCCCTGTTACTGGCTAATCTTTATTGTCAACTTGACTAAATTTAAAATCACCTAGGAGACACACTTCTAGGTGTAAGGGTATTGTCAGATTTAACTGAGAACCACAGACCTTCCATGGATGTGGACCACACAGTGTCCTGTCCAGCAGGACATTAAACAGGGGCCTGGGGAGATCACCTGAAAGGGTGGGGGGGAGCAGGCAAAGATGAAAGGAATGACGACCTGTCTATAATCTGATCAGATCATAATTTTTACTTTTCACACACAGGTTTCATACACAAAAAGGCAGGATGTGGGGAAAGGGATGACAAAGGAGTGTGGGTGTTCATGGGGAGTACAGATATCTTCCAGAACAGAATGTCAGCTGGGTGAAGGTTCAGGGGACAGACCACTATGACTCCGCCTATGATTCACTTGTCTTTATCTAAGTTGGTACATATCCACCAAGGTTACCCATCTACAAGGCCTTATGACCAGGCTTGGTAGCCTTCCACCAAAGCTGTCTGTTTACAATAACTCCCAGCTATCTGTTTCAGTGTTTTTCCACAGAGACCCAAGACTTGGTGCTAACAGGCATGTATGTCAGGCCTATTGCTGATTTTAGGCCTATGGCTGATTTTAGGCCTTCAGTGTATAAGCAGGGCCAACAATTCCCCCTCTCTCCAAATATAGAAGGACCGTGGCGATTCCAATCTTGCAAAGGTGGGATAGAGGCCTGACCTCCAGTAATTAAAGGAGACCTTGTAATGGCTCCAGTCCCCCTGTCATTGTCCAGTGAGGCATGAGGGCCATACCCATCCCGATGTCTTTTTCCTGGAGAGGGGATACTTTTGACATCAACCCCTATGCAGTCAGGCTTGTCCCTCAGGGAACCCAGAGAGATATTTTGATTTATATTCCCTTGCAGTGCTTAGCCTCGCAGCCTAAGCAAGAATTTAGATTGCCAGTCAGAGGGGGTTCTGTGTGGCCCCTCTCTGCTTGGTCTAGGGGCGGGAGTCCCCTCTTTTAGGTTGAATGGAGATGGGTTTTGGGAACACCCTGGATAGAGTAACAACCTTGTCTTGAGTCTCATGGTCCTCCATAGCTAACTTATGATAATGTATCTGAATAGGTTTTGCTACCAAATTATCTATCTGTTGTTTCACAAAGTTAGTCAGCCTATTTAAGGCCCAGAGACCAAAAGAAATAAGCAGAAGTAACCCAATTAATGGTCCCAAGATGGAAGGAAATAGGGTTGACAACCATGGAGAGGTTGAAAAAAATTCTTGTTCCAGCTCTCATCTTTCTCCCTCTCTCTCTGTCTTTTCTCAAGGCCTTCTTGACCTTTTTCGTGCTCTCTTTAACCATCCCTGTCTTGTCTATGTAAAAGCAACATTCTTCTTTAAGGGTCATACACAGTCAAGACCTGTACACAGTCTTTTCTATTGTAGAAGGGTAAATCAAGTCCAATAAAGTCTTTTGCACTTTTGGAGATCATTTCAGACAACAAAACGAGGGACTTCTTCAGATTAGTGATGTCAGTCTCTAGTTGTTTGATGTTCTTGTCAATGGCCAATCGAAGGTCTGAGTAGTGTAAGTCCGGAGGCCAGCATCAGGATTAGAACTTCTAACAGCAGACATCATGGGTGATTCATTTTTTA